TTCATAAGCAAAATGTTAGGCATCTTCCGCCGAATCACTATACATAACTTTATTTCCCCCAAACATATTTATGTAGCTAAAATTAGTTTTAACTAATGTTAAAAGTTAAAACTAGTTTTATCTAAAGCAAAACATATACAGCAGTAAATTAACTAGACAAAATCGGTTTTGTCTAGTTAAAACTAGAATTTACTGCTAGTCAAAAATGAATTTGAGTTAAAACTAGTTTTAACTAGACAAAACGGGTTTTAACAAAGACATTCAGTATAAACTAGTTTCAACTAGACGAAACAGGTATTAACAAAGACATTCAGTATAAACTAGTTTCAACTAGTTAAAACGCGTTCTAACTAAAAACGGGTTTTGACTGTAACATATATAAACATGAGTTTATAGAATTACTGTATATGTATGTATATTTACAAAACAAATTTTCTAGTTTACAACCGCTGTTTAAAATATGATTTATTTTAACAACACTGGCTTTTATGATTGGTATTAATTTTCTATTCATACAGTATTAAATGAAGTAATTAAGAGCTGTTTATCTTCGCCATCAAGTAAGAAAACAAGTAAGTCATAAAACAAAGAACTAACTTAAAATATTTGAGGATGTTAAACGCAATACTAAATATAATTTTTATATAAATTAGTAAACGTCAAGAACTTTTCAACGTTTTGGTGGAAACCCTTTCGACGTTATCTCGATGATTCTATGCCATATAGCAACATCATCGTTTTTTTTAAACCGGTAACATGATACAGTACCTGCAAACTAGTATCTGGATTGCTCCGAAGAAGGTCAAGAACTTTAAAATTCGAAAAAAGGGTCACTCGGTCGAAGCAAACTAAGGTCGAGTACCGGGCAAACGGAAGGAACCTTCGCTCAACGTTAGCTAAGACTCTGTGTCCTTACACTTTTCAATCCCAAAATTTCCCTTTTATTGACCAACAGAAAATTCTTCATAGGATTTTATCGGTGTTGGAATATTTGTTCTCTTCTGAAATCCAGATGAGATCAAACGCAAAACTCTTTCGTATGGAAGATTGTTATAGAGAAAAATCGTTGTCGACTTCTTAAAATAGATGGCTAAATAAGTATGTTTTTCATTATAATTGAGCATCGTCACTCCACCGAAACCTATGCGATTCTAACTTTTCAACAAGGGAACTATGGCATTGAGGTTTGTACAGGTCAATTATTCGGACGTAGCTAGGAATAAATCATTGGAGGGGCTACAGAAGCAAACTGGAAAAAATTTTGACTGGTATTTTTCTTTTTTCCGGCAAGCACTAAGCCGGTTAGCTACTGTTCAAGTGTAAAAAAACCTAACAATAGCTTAAGTTTACGTAGTGCAAGCGAAAGCATATATTTTGTGTACTGCATGTAGGTACTGCCTATTAAACTGTGGGAGTTTAACCACTTCAGCTTAGTCAGCTGAGAGCCATAACCGTAGCTACGGCTCTGGTAAGTGCAACACCGCGAAATCTCAGAAATATATATATAATAATTAGATTTTATTCGTATGCATTTTAGTATAAAATTCACATTGAATAATTCAAAACTTTTTAGTTAAATAAATAATTTTTTATTACTGTATTTTTATTTAGAAATATTCCTTCTTCTAATTCTAAAATGTTTATTGTTATATTGTTGTTGATTTTTAAAAGCATTAAATCTCTTTATTAATTACACAAATGATTTAACTTTATTAAATTCATATTTAATAATGTACAGTACAATAAATATATTTCTCTGGCATTATTGAGCAAATTTTTAACATTAATTTAAAGTCGATATACGAAAGACTAGATCTAATATATTGATAATACTGTATACTACTTATTTGATGTACTATACGTATTCTATTTAGTAGAATGTAAAATTTTCTATTTTTCGAACATACCTATTGTCTAGAAAATAACAAATATTGGTTCCATTAATCAGAGTATTTAGTTGTTCGATTAAATTAATATTTAATTTTCTATTTCATCTTATCATATATCTGATAATTATTTTATTAAATTTAAAATCTTTTTAAAAATATTATTTTTAATAAAAATGTTTCATTTGATTATTATTAATAAAATAATAATATTTTAATATTTATTATTGATTGTACCATTAAATATATTATACTTTAGTGCTGCTTTCAAATGAGAGTTTGTTACTAAAATTGTGTGTATTTTTCGGTACTTTTCTATATATAAAGAGCCTGAGGAATGTTCTTCTTATTTCGGAACTGCAGAGACAATAAACATAAAAATTCATGGCGTAATTAGCCAGTTCCAAAACGTTAGCCACAGCGCGAAAAGTCTGAAAAGCAAAATTTCTCTCTTTCTCGTCACTATTCAATAGTGTCAAAACAGCTGCCGGTGTCATGCAAATGAAGAAAAGAATACTGACACCACCTAACAAAGCTACTAGACGTTTTTCTTCACGGAATTTCTTATTACCTTCTCTCACTTGATTAGTTCCAATGAGCGACGACCTTAAAAGGATCTTCTTCTTTTTAACAGTCTTGCGGAAAGTAATGATGATTGCGGTATTAAGGAGAGCAAGAATGACTACAGGTCCTAATCTAACAATGATTTCTTTCACATAAAGATATACTTTAAAAGCCGGATGATTAGTAACCGTGTGATGTTCACAAGCAATGTATTCGGTATAATTCGAATTTTTTTCAGCAATTACAGTTTCTTTCTGAAAGCAGATAGGTAAATATAAGAAGAAAGGTACGGCATAAGCAGCGAGAATGCAATGTTTAGCGTTTTTGGTCGTATGTATCTCTTTAAAACGTGTTGGAAGACATACAGAAAAATATCTATCGACTGTGAGGGCGACTACAAGGAAGACACTGGTTGCCATGAAACCGTTAACAATGGCTATATCGAGATGAGCGTAATAAATGGCTGCTGCGTAACTCCTCGGTTGAATGCCATGAAGTCTTAGCAAAGAAGGAATTCCCACTAACAGAGATATAAGATCGGAAGTGGCTAACCATGTAAGATAAACAAACGTTACCCCTTTTAAATTGGGTCGTGTTAGCACAATTAAATTAATAACATTACCAAGTATTCCTAAAGCTATAATCACCGAACCAATAATTGCATAGCCAATTACTTTAAGTTGGTGTAATTTAACATCTGTCGAATCAAGAGAAGAATTAAATGTTTTATTGATATGAAGATTCGATGCTGCAGTACATTCACCCATAATATGTTTCCTATGGAAAAATAAAATATAAGTTAGACTATCAATTACATAATAAATAAATAAATCGATATTTTATCTGAAATAAAAAGACAATATTTAACTTTATAAATTTTAGATAAATAAAAACGTAGACACGTTTGTTATTACATTTCATAAAATATAGGTAAAATATTACAAATAAATTATGGGTTACTTCTCAAATTAGATAATTCTTGAAACATGCTTATCCCATAAAATATCCAAATTGAGTTAATACTCCATACTGTATCTTAGAGCTTTTATTATCTTGGCTATATGATTAAATTTAGGTTTCTATGTCATAAAAAGAGATTTGCAACAGACATCTTTTCAGCACTCTCATTTTCTTTTCTCTACGATCGCTCATGAATAATTCATGTACAGAAATAAACACGTTAAAGTATTTCCTTATCGTTAAGGAAGTTTCAAACATATTGTATTTTAAAATGTTTATATTTAAACATCTTTTTCCCTCCGTTCAAATGCGTATACCTAAATCTTTTTTAATTTAACAGTAGAGTTAATTTAATCACTAAGTGAGATTATAAACGTCTAAGATCATTACAACATTCTGTATTTTTACATTTGTATACTATGTTTCATTCATAGACATTCTGTGAGAATCTTTGATATACAAAGTAATCTAGCTTGACTAAAACCTTTTGAATGAGGTAAAAATGTTAGCTATTAAAGAATTTACTAGAATTTATAATTGTTTACATTTTTTGTTTATGGTAAACCAATTTTTGCATTTAATTTTTGACATTGAATATTTGATATATTATAAAATTGAGTAGAATTGGGCTAGAGGGTATTTATTAAGAGAAAGTCAACTTAACATTAATTCTTTAATGCTATCATTTTTATATTTTGCATTGATTTTTATTAACGATCTTACTATTTAATTTCTACTTTTTAAAGTAGAGTTTAAACAATAAAATTGTTAAACTTAAAAATAAGTCAATATAAGTTCAAGAATATTTAACCTGAAATTAGTTTTAGAACTTATTATATTCTGGAGATTCAATTTTTCAATTAAAGAAATAAAGATATCACATTTTTAAATAAAAATTGTTTATATTACATTTGAAAATAGTTTTTCAATTGTATTAAAAAGATTGATCAACAAATACCAGTTTCTTCTTTTAAAGATGAAATAAAATTATAAAAACATTTAAGATTAAAAAGGACTCATTTTTGAATTATCAACTGTTCTTAAGTTGTGTTTATATTGTTTAAATAATAAGTTGATTGTTTGATGCTATTGATAAATTGTTATGAAATTTCATAGTGTAGATATTTGAACAAAAGTTTTTTAAATGTAAAAAAAAAATTAGAATTCAGTTAATAATNAATATGTATTAACACATTAACTTTATAAATTAATGTTTTATATATATAATGATTTATAAATAAATTACTATTGACAATTTTTTTTCTAATTTTTAAATATATAATATATTATTTAAAATACATTGCTTACATTCTTGAAAGGATGTCGTAAGAGAAGTTAAAAACAGAGAAATTTGAGGTTCCTCAACGCGAATATTTCATCAAATAGCTGAGTATTACTACTATGACAAGTATTTATTTCGTAATATTTTTCATAAAATATATGCTGATTATAATTGATAATGAATTCCTATATTATCATCAACTATAATTGTCAATTTATTAAAATAAAATTGCTTTTCTAGAGCTCGAATCTATCATAAATTAAAAATGTTCCCGATAGATGCCGCTAATGTATTAGATTCCAATATTGGTAATAATGTTTGTATGGAAAGAAATGAACTCAACAGAATATAAAAAGCTCAATATATTTAATCTGAAATATCAATAAGTCAAAGTACAGTACACCTCCATATACTGCTTTAATTTTTTTTAACAACTATAAATAAAAATTAATTACATTTTATATGCCTTAAAATTAGAATAGATTGCATTCTTTTTATTCAAAAATTCAAGGCAATGCACACGAAAATTGACAATGCTAACATTGGTTTATAAACAACACATAGAATAGTGATAATGTGAGATATTAGCTAATGGAATTATAATTTCAACGAATAATTGGGAAGGTACTGAAGTTTATAAGATGGAAAAGACAAGTTTTGGGATTATTGAAAGTGTGGTTAAGACACAGTTTGGGATGACGTGCCTCAACTGTTACTTTCTGATCATATTTAAACTGCTTTTCAGGATGAAAATTATAATTATAATGAAAGTATACTTAATTTATGCGTTTTTATAATACAAAAGACATACTATAAAATTAGTAAAAATGTAAATGAACCACTAAGAATTTCGAGTGTTCTACAGATTTTAGCATTGCAATCCTTGTAGTAACGTATTAAAGTCAGTTGAAAAGTAAACAAACATTAAATTGACGGAACGTATTGAATAATCGTTAGAACAGCGAAATAAAAATAAAAGAAGAATAATAAAACTGCATAGAATAAAATATTTAATTATAATCTGGTAAACAATGGAGATTAGTATCATTCTTAAAACCAGTGCAAACATTGGCAACAATTATTATTATTATTTTTTATAGCAAAAGTTATAAAACAATTTTTCCATCTGAAGACTCTGGGATTTAATTTAATCCCTACTTTAAATACTTTTGAACTAGATTTTCAGGTTTATATATATATTATATGAAAATGAAAAATTTGTAAAACCTAGATTAAAAAATTTGTAGTTCAAAAAACTTCCAGCCAAGTCTAAATTGTTTTCAGAATAAACTTTTTATTACATAGAAAAAGAAATTTTCGTAATTTTCTTCTTTTAGATCGTGTAGTTGAAGTTTTAAATTTTACCATAATTAATGAGTCTATCTTAAGAAAATGAAGAAATTTATCTTTGTTTAATTCTGTAATGAATTGAACATTTTAAAATTGTTGAGTGATCGGATAGGTGAAAATTATTATACTTCTAGAAGAGTTAAAGAAAATTCTTTATTTAAAATAAATAAATAAATAATAAAAGGATTATTCATATTTATCCATAGTATTGGCTAAAAATTACGTTTTTTACATATGCATGTCAATAAGTTAATTTTGTTTTACTCAAATCAGATATGATATTTATCTATTATTATTTTAATTAAAATTGTAAAGTTTTTTTTACATTCATTACAATTTTAATTTACTTTTAATAACATTAACTAATTACGATAAAATTTTAATTAAAATTGCTAAAATTATAAATTTTTTTCCTATACTTCAATTAAAATTCTGGGATCAATTAATATTGAAAATCGGGACTTCAATTGTTTACGATGGTCTTTATAACAGAAATTTACTAACTATATAAAAGTCGAATTATAGTTTAAAATTAAATTTATTTGTTTTTAATAATACTTTCCGATATTAAATTAAATTTCTACTTTAAAAATCGTTATTTAATTAAGTTAAAAACATCCTTATTTTTTTACTAAATAATTTAATTAATATAGCTCACTTTTTGGCTATAAAATGTATGGATATATGGCATTTTAACAATGTTAGAATAAAAATGAATATTTTGAGGTTTAAAAACTGCTCAAATTATTCATTTTTATTCGAAAGTAATAAATAAAGAAAAGAAAAATAAATGAGAATATAAAAAGCCGAAGGTCATGTCTTATTCATAAGAATAAAGATTTCTATAAGAAATATTATCCAATAAAACTTGTTACTTGTCAGAATAATTATAATCAAAAGGAGAAAAGTGAACAAAAATGGGGTAAAAATAGCTGAGAAATACCGACGGAAGCTGTTTTGAAAATACCAAAAATGAAAATGATAGATACAAGGACATCATATATACTTTTCTATTAAGGGAGGAAATATGACAGAATAGATGTGAAAAAGAATATTTTGCAATATCTAGAATCACGAGTATGACAGATTCACACTTGCTAGAAATTCTTAAACTGAAACATGGCTTAGATATTTATAAATTAGTTTATTATTGAACAATACAGGTATATGTGTTTAAAATATTTTAAAAGATCAAATAAATTTAACCAATTTAAATTAACGTTTTATAAACTTAAAATTATTTTTATTATTTTTCTTAAATTTATTTACATAGTAATTAAGTATATTTAATCATTAAATAAGTTTATAAAAATTGATTATTTCAAATATGTTAAAAAGGTTTCAAAATCTTTTCATTAAATAGAGAAATGGAAATTTTTATGACTAAATATAGATTAGTTCTAAATTTTCTGTTTGAATATTTTATTTAATAGTTAAAATTCAATTAAAACTTCGCATTAAAACTAAATAATTTAAATTATAAATAATCATAATTAATATTCAAAGTGTGGCGGCTCTACAGAGAAATTATTAAAGAAATAAATAAGTTATTTTATGTTAAAATATGTTCGAAAATTATTTAAAAATATTAATTGCATATTAAATCGATTTTAAAAGTAATTATTTAAGCGAGAGACTCGCGTTAATCTGTACGTCGAAATATAATAATTTATTTTTGTCCCCCTTCTTAACTTTGAACTAACTCTTTTATCATTTATAAAGCATATCGTAATAATAAATATCATTTGCATGTTCAACGCTATAACCAAAGTACGAGTAAATCACAAATGAAACGCCTGCAGTGTATCGACCAACGCATTAAACATGTTTAAACACAAAATAAAAATACCAAAGAAAATATTACAGCGTAAATTCGTTCATAACTAGTTAATGAGAGACATGATAATTTTAGTTCATTTATCATATCAACGGATATCATAGCAGTTAATTTTATTATAATAAGTATCGATTCTTTGTTAAGACAGTTACAATTAATTAAATATATTTTTTATATATTTTTTAACCGATTTAAAAATGCATCATTTATTTCGAAAAAACGGTAATTATTCCTTTGATTTATACATTTTATTGATTTACTCGACTCTGGAGTTAACCAGATGATGCGCTACCCAGTACGATTCAACAGGAGGGTGTAGTTAAATTAATATTTTAGGTACAGTACAGTACTCTGTTTAAAATATGATTACAATATTTACTCGTTTAATTAAATTCAAAATATTTTTATTTCTCTCTTATCAATTTATTTTTATACGTAAAACATCTAATTTTATTATACTTTATCTCGACCAATTACAAACTTTGTTTAAACATTACCATCTGCCTGAATAATCGGAGATTCGTGACGGACTAGAACAGTTAAACAGTTCATTTAACTATCAGTTTAGCATTAAAGACAAATAGGATTTTCAATATACTTTCTTCATTATGAAGATCTCTCCTTCCTTCATTTTATTAAGTTTAATCGTATATCTACAGAAGTGGAGATTTAATTAGACTATGTGATCTGATCATATTAATATTAGATTGTTTATCGCGTAATGGTTTATATCGTAAACTTATTCTGTAACATTTAATCGAAAAGTTCTTAATTTTATTTATATAAAAGTCAAAATTTTTAACTTAAAACTTTCTTCTTTTTTCTGGTAGTAATAATTGAACCTGTGTGTGTAATCTTCGAATCGAAATCTTATCTTTGAAAACACTTACTACCTACATAAAGGAAGCTTTATAAAGTTCTGTTCTGAATGCGGAATTTATCTCAAAAATCTGAACTGAATATAAATTTCGTATTTACAGTCAATTTTTGTATGATACATTTAACAAATGTATATACAGTACTATCGAGTCATAGTAAAATTTCGATTTTCAAAATAAAGTTACGATCGAAAATTTAATTTCTATACATTTTAATATTTTATAGATATAGAAATAAGTTTCAGAATTATTTTTTCAGAATGAAAAAGTTGACTTTTCTTATTACAGTGCAATTTAAATCAAATATTTCAAAATTTTCAATCTACAATTGCGATTCGATTTCATAATGGGTTCACGCATCCGAATAAACTTTTTTCTAGCAATTTATTTCGTATAAATGCAAATTTGCAATATCAGCTTTCACATATTAAATTCTTAATATATGATGAGCTAAAATGAAATAAGGACCTTTATACGTCTTTATTTCAATTTAGCTACAATGTCTGACATCGAGTAAAACTGCACTTTAATGGAATATTTTCTTTTTGCAAGAAAATTTTCAGTGAAAGAAGAATAAATCTTTCAGAATACAAACTACAAGTACCATCATCTGTTATTGCTATCTTATGAATAGACCTATTCGAAAGAAGACTTTTAATCTTTCTATAAAAAATAAAATAAAACTAGAACTCTTCGTTTAAATGAGTAACTACAATAAAAGTCGTTTCACAAATCTTTCATATTTTTATAACAATAGTTTTATCGTAAAAAGTAAAAATAAAAAATGATTGAAAAAAATGTTACTAGAAAAGCTACAATGAACTAACAAGCAAGAAATATTTCTTTAATATAATTAAGAGTTATCCGGTAAACACGATATTGTTTTTTATTATAGCAATTAAAAAATATAATTCATAATTTATTATGAAATACAGTTACCGAAAATCGAGTGGTATTTAGAAATAATAAAGAAATTCATAAAGAATAAATGATTAAAATTGAAAAACTTAAAATCTGTTATATTTAAAAATATATTTTTATTGTATTCTTTTAGAAATCATTACATAAATAAACACAACCTTTTGATGCCTACTTTACAATGATATATTTTTTATGTTTCGACTGCAAAATCGGCCATCTTCAAATTCTCATAAAATAAATAATGTTTTTTACCAACTATATTCATTTTAAATATTCATAAATTTTTCTTCTTAAAAACAATCCGATTTTTTATGTTATCATTACTCTCAATTTAATAATATTTTACATTTAAAAATGAAAATGATTAAAATTTATTATTTTCATAAACTTAATTCTGATAACTAACAAAATTGTATTTGAAAAGCTAATTAATTTAATGAAAAGTTTTAAAAATACTTTATAGATATAGTTATTACTTATATATACAGAAAAATCCAAAGATAAACATGGAAATCATATATTTTGCATTTAAAAATAAATTCGAATCGTCAGAGTGAACTGCAATGCAGAAGGTGGAAAAAGAAAAAAGTATTTTGCTGTCTAGAAAACAGGATCAAATGGTTATTTCGTATAATATATATTTTTAAAGTAAAATTTGAAACTTACAAATTTGTTATTTGCTATTAAACCCGCAGGATGTAAATTTGGAAATGTTATTTCTGAACCCCTACATATTTTTTATATTATTATTATAATTAAAAAAAATCCCAGAGTATATAGAATCGATGAAATTAAACAAATATTTTAATGCGGATTATTCATAATAATAAAAATAAATGATATAAAGTAACTTATCTACTTTTTTTAAATGTTTTATGTATGAATTGTTACTAAATAGTTTGTTTAGTGTATTTAGTGTATTGTCCTCTTAATCAAAGGATTTCCTAAATGATGGTGGGCAAATTATTTTAAGCGATAAGAGAAACTACAAAACTTTCTATCTAGATATCCTTTACATATCGCAAAGAACCTCCTATAGAAACTACGTGTAATTATTCATTTTAGATATTCCAAACATAAATTTTCATTCAATAATTGTTGATGCACACAATGATACCAAGGATTATTAAATAAAAATTTTTTTATAATTGTTAACTAAAAATTCAGGGCAGCACCACCATATAGAAAGATTAGATGGCCGCTTATGACGCAGAATCTGGAAGCAGTACAATGAATTAGAATTGTATTTTACGACAGAATTTAGGAATTAGTCATATATAATAACTACAAAATGAACATATTTGAATAACAATCTTTCTCATTGCAGTGATTTTAGATGTAAGATTTATGTTGAGCCTAACAAATCCAATACGATCTCACAAAATCAATACAATCAGTCTCCCACAAATTATCTTTGAGCAAATTAAATGTGTAAGTAAAATTTAGTAATATTATTCAAAAGAATAATCTATAGCAGAGTGGAAGTTAAATACAAACTTTTTCTTGTAGCATCTATTCTTTTAAATATCTCTTACAAATTAGGACAATTTAGTTGAAGTTAATTAAAATATCTAAATTACTTTAATTAAATTTACAATTCTAAATTTAAAAAAAGAAAACCTTTCATTTAATTATAAATTTAATTTATAATGTCTGCATTACGATTTAAAATCTCGATACTTTCAGGTGTTAAGTAAGAGATAGTAACACGATGTTCTACATGTTCAGAAACAATTTACTTAATCGATTTTTATTGATTTACGAGTCACACGTCGCTTCAAGGAAGAAATTTTAAATCTTTTAATAATTATCAATTAATTAATATTTAACACTTCGTTACATTGAATTTTAATATATTTTGTCCCATACTTTGTAAAATTTTGTAAAATAATGCTTAATTGATCACTTACTCTGCATCTAAAATTTATTTAAAAGTTTTTTGTTACACAGTCTGATGGAGAATATTGATTGAGGATATATTTGCTAATATTATTAAATTGTTTTTGTTGTTTAAGTTTAGTTTTAAACGAAGAAGAATTTTAAATTATTATTATTATAGAAAGAATAGAGAGTAGTCTTTGTTTATAGTTGGTAATATATTCGATGTTAATATTTATTAAAAGATAAAAATTCTAAAATACTTTCAAAAAGATTATTTAGTTTTCTTATTTAGTATATAAATTCTTTTATATTTTATTCTCTATTATATATTTAAAAAACTTAAAAACTTCTATTTTTCAAACCTTTCAGATAAGATTGGAACAAGAATAAATTAATCATTCAACTTTAAGAAAAGTTCAAGCAATTAATAAATATTGTATGTAAGATTACTAAATAAAAAATACAATAATTGATAATTTTTTATGTCTTTTTAATAAAATATAATAAAAATAGTAAATTAATTATTTATAATTAAACATTTTATCTTAAATTGAATTGTGTTTAACCAATACAAATCATCGTTCATTTGAAATGATCGATAACAATTTTATTCATTATAAATAACAAAACAATTTTAATATTTCATGTATTAGATGAAAACCATAATTTTCATTTTTATCTGAATTTAGAAACGATTTTTTTCAAGTTTTATGAGATATTTAGGAACATACTTCCGACTGCAAGCTGTTATCATCTATTTATTTTCAGCTAGAAAAATATTTTTCTATCCTTTTAATTATCAAGAAAACTGGAAGCGAGAATTGTTAAGTGAAATAATTATATCTATAATTAAAAATTGTCTAGAAGCATAATATTTGATTACAGGATAGCGTAGTCAAAATATGATTTTTAAATACTGGAATAAAAAGATAAAACTTGTTTGTTTTCCTTAATTAAAATTTAATATAAAGAAATTTTTTAGTAATTTTTAAAAATAATTTTAGCATACTTTTATTTTAAAAATTATATAAATATGTATCGTATTTTGAAATTTCAATTAATTTAAGTAATTATATTACTATATTCATTAAAATGGTTTATCAATAATGTGTAAATTGACTTAAATTCATTCTAATTTACAGAATATTGTTTTATAGTATAATCTTTCTTATGATACTAATCAGAAGTAGTGATACAATGATTTATATTTGTAACATAATATACAAAATGTAAAATGAATTTTGATTGACTATCGAATTTTCCACATATCCGATTTCAGAGCAATATTACATTAGGAGCTTTTTTGGAATTAATAAATGATCACATATAAACGATCCTCATAGCATATTAAAAAATTTACCAATTTAACTGTAACACAATGGTATTTCTTTTTCCAATATCTTTAAAATACCAACGTTTATTTGAACAAATAACTCGTAGTGCCATTTGTTGCAGTTTTATAAAGTGTTCAAGAGGGCTGATGAAATCTCAAATGTCTCATATAATTTTGTCAGGGTTTAAAATATTCTGGAAATTATGTTAAACAGCTATACTGATTTTATACATTACATCATTGACATTATAAAAGGATTTTCAAACTAATTTCATTGGAGAGTCTGGAATTATCATTAGTTTTTATAATACAAATCAGAAACAAATCATTTATGTCGTATAAATCGACAAACTAAATTTCTTATAAGAGAATAAAAGACCATAAAATTTAAATTTGGTCTTTCTGATGTATACTTTAAAAAAAATCTAGCAAAGAGTTGCGTAACTTTCCCGGCAGTTTGAGATTTTGTTACCGTAATTTTATATTATTAATTATTATAAAATGATAAAAGGCTTATTTTGAGCGCAAATGAGTTTTATGAAAACTTGTAAATGCTAATAACGAATAAGATCTGCATTAAGTCAGACTCGACTGGAGATATGATATGTGATCACCCTCTATCTCGCCACCCTCTCGACCTTTAAACATCAAAATTAAATAGTAACAATGCCCCTTAAACTCAACCTACCATGCCAAATTTCTTTTTTTTTTATCATTATCCTATCCTGAGATATTAAGAGAAATACACGCCACTCGTATCATACATACTCGTACATATACAAGGAATTTTACTCGTTTTTTTTTTACCTTTTGGGGTTCAGGAGGTCTAAAAATGTAGAGATTTGCAAAGAACCCAAAGGGTCAAATTTGACACAATTCCAATATTTTCCCGACTGTTATGTATACACCATAACGGGNTAACGAATAAGATCTGCATTAAGTCAGACTCGACTGGAGATATGATATGTGATCACCCTCTATATCTCGCCACCCTCTCGACCTTTAAACATCAAAATTTAATAGTATCAATGCCCCATAAACTCAAGCTACCATGCCAAATTTCGTTTTTTTTTAATCATTATTCTATCCTGAGATATTAAGAGAAATACACGCCAAAACACACCACTCGTAGCATACATACTCGTACTGTACATATACAAAGAATTTTACTCGTTTTTTTTTTACCTTTTGGGGTTCAGGAGGTCTGAAAATGTAGAGATTTGCAAAGAACCCAAAGGGTCAAATTTGACACAATTCCAATATTTTCCCGACTGTTATTTATACACCACAACGGGGAAAGTAAAAATATATAGGGCCTATAAAAATTTCGGGTGTAGTGAATAAAATCACTTTGATTATATTAAATTTCATTAAAATGAAAATACTAAGAGTCTAGTAATATAAGAAAATTTAAAAATAATTTCATTATTAAAATTTATAATTATAATTTTGTTGTTTGAGTAGGCCAATTAAAAGCCTTTTCTCGGTCACCTTCAATGATTGAAAATGCTTCAGATATTGTAAAATTTAACAATTTTCAATTATAATTGCATTAAGTTCAAATTAGAATTACATTAGANAGGAGCTTTTTTGGAATTAATAAATGATCACATATAAACGATCCTCATAGCATATTAAAAAATTTACCAATTTAACTGTAACACAATGGTATT